CCCTAGAAGGTGGTGCGGGTATCCTGAAAGACCCACCTCCCCCGTGGTTCCCCTTCTTGCTAGAACCTTGGGGGCCGGTGTTCTCCCATTTCCTCTTCTTCGCCTCCTCGGCGTTTTTCAGCTTTCTCTCTTCCCATTCCTTCTCCCCTTTCAGGCCTTGCTCCACCACTTGACTAAACGTTATGTTAGGCAATTGTGTTGCCCGTTCACGCACGTCTAAGTCTAAAGCATCCCAAAAGTGATTCATCATCCGGTTCTCATCACAAGCATACTCCGGTATGAACTCCGCGAGCTCCCTGAACTTGTGCTCAAGTTGCCTCATGGTATACTTGCCTCCTTGGGTCAAGTTGGTGTATTCTCTCCTCTTCAAGTTCACCTCGAAGTCGGAGTAGTATTGGTTGAAGAATTCCAGTCGGAAATTCTCCCAAGTTACGGCCTCACCGTACTTCCCCTTGACACCGTCCCACCATGTGGACGCCATCCCCTCTAGCAACCTTGTTGCTACTCTCATCTTCATGTTTGGCGGCAGCTGCATATCAAGGGCCGCTTCATTGAACCTCTTGATCCACTCCGCCGCAACGGATATATCTCCCTTTCCATCGAACGGTTTACACCCCAAATCCCTTGCTTCCTTGAGGTACTTCGAGATCCTTATTATCGGGACCTCGACACCTCGATCTACTCGGGACTCCACATGTCCCCTAGAACCCGCATGGCTTCCCCTTCTTGAAGCCCCTCCCAAAGCACGCCTTGCCCGGCGCCTTTGGCGATCCTGTTGAAATTGACGAAGTAGTTCCTCCATCCTTTCTAGAGCGTCATCATCGTCGCTCCCCTCACTGTCATCATCACACTCCCCATCATATGGGGTCTCAACCGGCTCAGTTCCCGGTTGATACGTCGAATCCTCCTCGGACTCATAGGACTCGTTGACTGTTTCAACATAACTGTCACTCACGGTCTGATCTTGGCCTCCCCGGCCCTGTCCTCTGGACACCCTAGAAGCCCCTCTACTGCCTAGCACGGATCCTCCCGGTGCTCGGCCAGTCGGGTTCCTTCTAGTTACTTTCCCGGTACGTTCCATTTCTGAAAGAAATTGAGAATGAGTCATTAGACTCGTATCAAATGTCAATTGACGGATAGGTACTTAAAGACATCCTTTGGCTCCAATCACCACCATACCAATTGCTAAGGGTACCATCTTAACAATTAGAGACATTGCAACTCAAGTACCAAAAGTTCTATAAGTACAAAACCTTATGCTCATGGTTTTCAAATTCATTTTCAAAAAGAAATTTTGAAGCTTCATTATGATGTTTACGGACCTACCCGGACACGTCAACAACCCGCCGTACAGTACGAATAGTCAACCGCAGTTCAACTCATCCATACTATACAAGGCGTCTTGAATACCATTCACACATAGTACATCCATAAACAAGCATAATGTAAATCATTCATTTAAAACAGCGGAAGCATAAATACAATTGTTCAAGCCACACTTGGCATAACTCGGCATACAAGCCCCCAAGGTAATTATTCAAAAATAATATCCATGAGCATTAACGTAATTGTTTTTAAAAACAGAACGGAAGAAGCACGAACCACGTCTTCTCCCCTTGATCCTCCCGAAGCCACGGGCGATGGTAGCAACCTTCAAGTCCTACCTGAAACTGTGAGGTGGCCTCCCCCGTGAAGGGGAGGTCAGTACTTGGAAATATTTGACAAGTACAATAGCAACTATACTAAGTATAATCAACGTTTTAACTTCCAAGACCCTCAACCTAGGGTACTATTATATTATAGGCCATAACCCTCGGTTACCCCTTTTTCCTTTAACTGTACTTACTTTATATAAAGTCAAGTAGTCGGCCCGTAGGCCCATATTCATTTAGAATTCATCGTTTCCATTCCCCCGTGACCGCAAGTCACGATAACCCCGTGGGGTCCCATCGAGCCCCAATTGTATAGCATGGGCTCGGCCCAACTACATTTCTATACAATCCTCTAACTCGATATATCATATCAAAATTTGTATGGCAAGGGCTCGGCCCAACTACGTTTCCATACCAACCATAACTTCGTGGCAAGGGCTCGGCCCAACTACGTTTCCACGGAGGTCACACATACATGGCAAGGGCTCGGCCCAACTACGTTTCCATGGTAATCATATTACATGGCATGGGCTCGGCCCAACTACATTTCCATGTCATCCTAGAGTCCAACTCTAATTATTTCATAATCAAATTCTCAAGCAAATCCTATGCCTAGAATCAATTCCCATAGGTGGCCTTTAGGCCTACCCCTATCACACTTTAGTGTTCATACAATTCAACCTTAAGTATCTCTTGAGACTACTTAAGGCATATCTATTCACAATCCTACCTCTTAGGATTTGTTTCACCATTTATTTATATTAATTCCCCGACTAGTATTTTGATACTAATTGTATAATCTTAGAACATGCCAAGTTCCTATTTTCCATTTGGCATTTCATTTCAATTGATTTCCCAACCCAAGTATAGTTTGATCTCAATATCAAAAATATCACTTTAATCCATTCATGAATTTTCATACATGAATTAAAGCATATTTTATCACAATGTCATCATAGTAATTCCATTAACATGTCGTTCCATTCATTTCACATAATCATACACAATTATTCTAAATTTGTATATCATGCTTCACCCACTCATATCCATATTATTTTCGTTTAGGCATTATTAATCATTAATAATCCATGAAAATCTCATCTAATTACTTTAGGCAATCTTATGAAATTAACTCACTAATTATAAGCAATATAGTCAGCCATCCTTACCTCGTGATGTGCTACAATAGTTGCCTTTGTTAAGCCCCTCGATCAATCCCCGTTCTAGGCCGATTGAAAGTGAGAATCTTGACTGCTGGGCCAAAGCCGGGCGGCTTTCACAAAAGCTGGGCGGCTTTCGTGTTCTGCAGATACGAGCAGCTCCCTTAAAGTGGCGGTTTCCGACGATTTCGACTCCTATCGATTCACCAACTCCCCTAAGTTAAATACCACCACTTTATATCAATATTCTACACTTTTAAACGTGTAGAACTTCATGTTTAATCCACCATATGATTTCTTAAAAGAAATCATACTACAAAAACTAGTTATTGTATCCTAGCTAAGTTCTTACCTCAAATCTTAGACTTTTTGTGTTGGGTTTTCTTTCCTCTTGCTTCTTCCTGCCTTGGACCTTGTGAGAGCTCTTCCTAGAGGTTCTCCTCTCTTGATATGGCCGAGTGGTGTGGAATGAAGGAGGAAACATGTCCCCAATCAACTCCCAAGATAATACATGTGCATGGGCCCTTGGGAGTGATTTCTTTGTCTTGAGAAATCTCCTCACTCAATGAGTCCGCACCTCCCATGTTTGAATGTCCCTTTCTGCTCTCATTCAGTCCATAAGGACGTGGGGTGGCCCCCACTCATGTGGGCGATCATCCCTTTAAGTCCCGGTGTGTATAATCGGCCCCGAAAGTTGTATTTCTCGGACTATTTTAGTCATATTTTATTTTATCGGGCCGGATAAAATATATCACGTGTTTCCAATAATCATGGGCCTTTAGAATAGATATACATTCCCCAACATTAATTTAGGAGCCTCCGAAACTCATTTCGGGCTGTTATCCGTTAAGTTGCCAATACCGGTAATTGGGCCCCGTTTGACCAACCGGTCAACACCATACCCTTCTTATGGCCCAAATAAAATATCCACCACCATATAGATGTCATCTAGACCAAGATGAATATAATATGTGGTTCGGGAATTATCAGGCGGTCCCCGTTCCCATTGTGGGCCCCACATGCAATTTACTATTCACGTAAAAGAAAAATAAAAATTTACAATTACGCAAATTCATAAATGATCTTTCAAGGTTTATTACATCATTCACTAAAAGTAAGTATGCCCGGGGTCGGTGTTACATGGATAGTGTTTAATATTTAATTATGGTCTGTTAAGCCCATCAACCTATAAAAATGATCGAAAATTTTCATAAACAACTTATTTGGCTAAGATAAGTGTTATTAAGCACTTTTCGCTACGGAGATTTAGCAAATTGACTCCAATAGCCTTGACCTCAAAGGCTTAGATCTCATCTTAACCTCATTATCATCCTGTGTAGCACAGTAACCCCTATTAATCCTTGACACGTTTTGCTAAACCTTGGCCTGTTGTCCAGCCTACCCATATGCTTTATAGTACATTAAGAAACATCTTTATCGTGTAATGAATACACATGACACATACATATATACCCAACATTTGTACTGAGTTCACTTATATGAAATAGTAGTTACTCATATATGCCTTTAACTACGCACTTACCTGAGACATGTCGAGTGGTGTGTGGCAATGGATGGAGTTACGGAAGGACTTGGGCTCTGATACCAAACTGTAATGACCGTCTCCAAAACGGCCATTATGATACTCAAACATAAAAGAGACTCGATAAATCAAGTGGAAATAAAGATACAAAGCCTCGATATGAGACTTTATTTCTTTTAGAACAAATCAAACCTTACAAAGATGATGAAACACATCCAAAATAAAACATTTGTAAAACCATTACACCTGATCAGGATTTTAAAAACGTTTAACAACCCTTTGAAGTACCAATGTACTAAAACCACAACATAACTGATAGCCCGATCTTCTCCGTTAACCCATCCAAAACCTTGTCACCGGCTCAATACATTCTCTCGGGCTTCCGTACCTCGTTCATTACCTATACATGAGAATAGAAGTCTCGTAAGCAATAATGCTTAGTAAGTCACCATTTCATCCACTAAAAACGTTTAGGGAATCTTAGCTAGCCATAATTAGATGCATGAGCTTGAATACTCCATACACATAGCATAATCACACACATATTCATATCATGTAAAACACAACATCATGTAACGAAATCTAAAAGATTTCCTCATTCATCATTCTTTCTTCTTATCTTATTACGTGACTTGATGGGCCCGTAGCTCGTATCCTGGCCCCTCGCTAATGACCTTTGGTAGCTAGCCCGCAACCATCAGAAGTAATCTCAGGACTCCCCGCGGAAGGAGATCCCGCTCCATTCAGCTCAGGTAATTACTTGGGGGAACGGCTACCTTAGAACATTTCTTATCATTCATTAGATATCATTTCATCACAACTTTAATTCATTGCTGGATTCCATATAAATCCAACCTAACCATAAACATATAACTTGGATACCTTACACTGATAACTCAACAAGTTCTCAATCAACATCACCTACAAGCATATATACATAATAGGGCATTCACATAATCTTATGCCATACAAATTCAAGTGTTCAAGCAAATATATTCAAATCATAGACAGCTAGACTTTCATGTTTCATTTCAAACTATCATGTATAGGTGTTGATGACTTACCTGGTTCACGCAGAGTATTTGCCCTTGTGTGTGCGTGTGCGGTGTCCATACGCAACGGTTCTTCGATGAGCAACTATAATTACAAATACACAAGGTTATACTTGATCAAACTTAAATTCATGTCTTTAGAAAATCCTTAGACTTAAGGTGAGGGAAAGTTCACAAATCAGCCGCTACAAGTTAGAACCCCCCCCCCCCCCCCCCCCCCCCCTTTCCTACAACAAATCGGGCATAGCTTCGGGTGGCTAGATAAATAAGAACCGATTGAATTTCATGAATCAAGACTCATAATCTATTAAATCCTTTTCATAATATCAAGGACTCCATGTATCTATTTAGAATCAGCCACTAATTATTAAATCACTTCCCAAATTCTTTCATTAAATTGGGTATATTTTTGGGGTAGCTAAATACTTGAAACTTCACAAGGTTTTTCAATCCAGGATGAACAACAACTCCATAACAACCTTATCATTAAGAAAATTCATTAATATTCATAGCATCAACACTAAATCAACCAACCCTAGCAAAATCCTCAACCAAGAACTATACATACTAAGAAAATTCCCCAAATTCTTTTATCAATTTGACATAGTTTTGGGATAGCTAGTTATTCAAGAATAGATTTAAAACTTGTTAGACCAAGGATAAAAAACCACTTTACAACACTCCTATCATCCATAAAATTCATTAATTTCTTAGAATCAACCAAAAGTTCACTCAACCCTAGTTAAATCCCAAAACAAGAACTATGGATCAAATATAGAAGATTTCTTCATGTAAAGTGTAAAAATCTTACCAAGTGATGATCTTTGATGAATAATGTGTTTAATTTGAGCTTGAATCACCCTAGAAATGGTTTGAGATTGATTTGTAGAGAGAAGGACGAGCTGGGATTGATTTTGGGTTTAAAAGGGGGTTTTTGCGCTTAAAAACGATTTTGACCGACACTGCCGAACCCGACTGAACCAGCACCGGTTTGCCCCTTACCGGAGCCGGTTGCCCAGCCACTCCAGCACCCTAAAGTTTCTGTTTTGGACCGGCGCCCGTCCGGGTCCAACCGGCGCCGGTTTGAGGCCAATCGGGTGCCGAAAATGTCATTTTTCGCCCTAAACCGACCCTGATCATTGCCGATCCCATCCTAGACCCCCAATGACCTTTTAAAACTATATTTTAAACACCCAAATACTATCTAACATGAAAAATAACTTGATATACCATTACATTCAAAAATACGAATGATTATTACAGTGTAGTTTCGTTGCTCATCGGATATCGTCGCCTGTCACGTTCAAACATAATACAAGCATGTGAGTTCAAATATCATTTTCATAAAGATCATAATCATGTTATCACTATACTTCACGCATATATCACTCAAACATAAGTTAAAGCATGATCATAATAAAAGTGATTAGCACGTAAGAAGTAAATAAAAAGTACGGGCGTTACAATCCCTCCCACCTAATAAAAGTTTCGTCCCTGAAACTTAGAATAACTCTGGGTAGCGCTTCCTCATGGATTCCTCGGGTTCCCATGTTACTTCCTCGGTTTTGTGATTTCTCCACAGTACTTTTACTAACTTTATCTCTTTATTTATGAGTCTTTTAACCTCATGGTCAAGTATTTTCACCTATTTCTCTTAATGGGGAGACATACAACCACTTAAGTATTCTTCTCATGTTTTGTGCTTATACTAGAACACAACATTCTAAACATTGAACATAGCATTTATTATGGATTGATTTCTCAACATTGATTTCTCACGTTTACTGACTTGCTCTATTTACTTATTAATATGAGAGCAGAAGATCATACGAAATCCTACTCTGTTTTACATACATATGCCACACACCCTAAGAAATGATATTTAGACTTAGACAACATTCTACTAGGGTGTGCTTGGCTCGAACTGGTCTTTTAAATTTGAAGGATAGAAATTTTCTTAAGGTTCATCACTTCATCGTGATTTCATAAATTTTAGAATATCTAAAACATAGCGCTTCACCTTCTTCCTATTTAGAATTCATCTTCAAAATATGATTAAGTTGTGGGAGAGGATGAAGTTTCCTAATTCACCATTGTATCGCTTTCGTCCAATACATTGCCTTACTTATGTTATATTCCCTCTATGTATAACTTACTACCTTATTTAGTAGCTTACTATTTATCTTACAAACTGTTCATGATAGCAATGTTTTGACTTATGAGACTCATATGTAGGCCTAAAACTCTTTAAAATATTCTTTATGACACTACATAGTATTATATATTTACTGTTGAATCCTTAAGCCATCTTATTCTTTTATGCGTGATCGAATACTCATGTCTAGCACATCATTTATAATCTCACGAAAAATCATTTGTTTGGTATGTTACACATGTGCTATTTGTTGTCAAGGTGTCTCTCCATATGAAAATCTTTTCTAAAGCATAAGAGGAAGTCTTCATTTCTTTTAATAATCCACTGTAATTTGACTCCCCTTTTATATCAAAAGAATATCTCCTAAAGTCTAAATAGATGAACTATAAAACAGAATCTCCTTGTCGATAAGCCTTTTGTGAATATGTTATATTATAAGTTTAGTAACTAAATCTTCTTGGACTTCCTCTATGAAGTGGGCTATCTCATATTTAGGGATGCATCTTTGGATTATTTGATCCTTACAATGCTTCCACAATTATGGGTCATCCCACACATAGAGTCTTGAATCCATTCTTAATTTTTCTTTTTGAGATTTTGAGAGTTGTGGAGAAAATTTGCCGGAAATGAGGAAGTTCACGATATTTGCGTACCATGGTTGTGTGACTTTGATGGAGAAGAGAGTTTCGTCCGGGAATGCGCCTTTGATGAGATTTATGTGGAGGTCTTCGATGTCTTTGTGAGGAATGAGGCGGCTTAAATGATCGGCCACCAAGTTCTCCGCTCCTTTCTTGTCTTTAATTTCCATATCAAACTCACTCAATAGAAGGACCCATCGAATGAGTCTTGGTTTGGCTTCTTTCTTTGTCATAAGGAATCAGAGAGCGGCATGGTCGGTGTAGACAATAACTTTCGTTCCAAGAAGGTAGGAACGAAACTTTTCCAAAGGCAAAGACTATCGCTAGCATTTCCTTCTCGGTGGTGGAATAGTTCTTTTGGGCTTCGTTGAGGGTTGAGGAGGCGTAGTAGATGACATGAGAAGCTCTTCCGACCTTTTGGCCTAAAACAGCCCCCACCGCATAGTCACCTGCGTCGCACATGATCTCAAAAGGAAGAGACCAATCGGGAGCTTGTATGATTGGGACAGTCACCAAACTTGCTTTTAAAGTGTCAAAAGCCTCTTTGAATTCATCATTTAGATCAAATTCCACCTCCTTTTGTAAAAGTTTGCATAGAGGAGATGAAATTTTTGAGAAATCCTTGATGAATCTCCTATAGAAACCGGCGTGACCGAGGAAAGAGCGGATGTCCCGTACATTTGTGGGGTACGGGAGCATTTGAATCACATCAATCTTTGCTTTGTCTACCTCGATCCCCTTTGATGAGATCACATGCCCAAGAACAATCCCTTGTTCTACCATGAAGTGGCATTTTTCAGAGTTCAGCACAAGGTTGGATTCAATGCAACTTTTTAGCACAAGAGTGAGGTGATAGAGGCAAGAGTCAAAAGAGTCCCCATGGATTGTGAAATCATACATAAAGACCTCCATGAATACCTCCACAAATTCTGAAAATATGCTCATCATGCACCTTTGAAAGGTGCCCGGTGCGTTGCATAATCCAAAGGGCATTCGTCGGTAGGCAAAAGGGCCAAATGGACATGTGAAGGTTGTTTTCTCTTGGTCCTCCGGGGCTATTGGTATTTGGAAATACCCGGAGTAACCATCGAGAAAACAATAGAACTTGTGACCTGCTAACCTCTCTAGCATTTGATCAATGAAAGGCAATGGAAAGAAGTCTTTTCTAGTTACCGAATTGAGTCTTCGGTAGTCAATGCAAACTTGCCATCCGTTTTGAACTCGGGTGGGCACCATCTCGCCATCCTTGTTTTCAATGACCGTTACTCCGGTCTTCTTTGGCACCACTTGAGTAGGACTCACCCACTTGCTATCGGAAATGGGAAAGATGATTCACATTTGAAGCAATTTGATCGCCTCCTTTTTCACCACCTCCATCATGGGTGGGTTCAATCTTCGTTGCGGTTGTCTCACCGCTTTGGCCTCGTCTTCGAGCAAGATCCTGTGCATGCATGTGGATGGACTAATGCCTTTGATGTCGGCAATAGACCATCCAATGGCCAATTTATATTCCTTGAGGACCGCGATCAATCTTTCTTCTTGTTCTTGGGACAGGGTATTTGAAATAATCACCGATAGAGTGTGATTTTCACCCAAGAACACATGCTTCATATTTTTAGGGAGTGGTTTTAATTCCACCTCCGGTGCCTGCAAAACAGATGGTAGCGACTTCTCGCTTGGAATGGTTAGTGGGAGGGCTTTAGATCCCGGTGGCAAGAGTGGGAGTTGATTTAACTCCGCCACCATAACCTTCATGTTATTTGACATAGAGTATTCCAAAGTAAAATCATCTATGTCGTTTTCAATTGAGCTTAGTACCTCATCTTTCCCTCAATTTCAAATACATCTTGGACCCAAGTGTCGCAAGTGTCAATCACAAAGAGAGAGTGATTATCAGTGGGGTATTTCATGGAGTCGTAGATATTAAATTCGACTTTTTCGCCATTGAACTCCATGGTTAACACTCCACTAAAAACGTCAATTTTTGCCTTGGCCGTTTTCAAAAAAGGCCTGCCTAGTAAAATTGGGACTGCATTTTTATCGTTCTCCATTTCAAGAACGTAAAAATCAGCAGGAAAGATTAAATTATCCACCATGACGAGAACATCCTCTACCACACCTTTTGGGTAAGCATTGGATCTATCGGCAAGTTGGATAACAACCCCCGTTTCATGTAAAGGTCCTAGTTCTAGGGACTTATATAGAGAATATGGGATGACATTGATTGATGCACCTAAATCTAACATAGCCCTAGAAGAACTAGAATTTCCAAGTTTACATGGTATAGTGAACATTCCCGGATCACTATACTTT